GGTGTGTCTCACCCGCCTCCCAGCATAAGGTCACAAGGACAGCCTGAGGATCAGGGGAGGGGGTGGGAAGGAGGATAGGGGCAGTCGCTGCATGTACGCCCTTCCTCCTAGCATAAGGATGGGACGAACAGCCCTGTCCTTATGCTGGGAAGACAATCTGAGGGTGACCTGGGCCCTGCCCTGCCCCCGCCTGGCCCTGTCCTTTACTAGGCTCTCCCCACCCCATGTGTGCCTGCCCACTCCCCTCGTGGTCTAGTCCACAATGCAGCCCCAAGGCAAAAAAGTCATTAAGTTGACTCTCATGAACTTCTACACCTGACAAATCATCTTCAGACACTTGCTCTGAGAAAGACTGTGAAGGGCCTCTCCCAGGAATGTGGCCTTGTGAATCTTTTTGAGACATTACACTCTCGTTAAGGTGACTCTCATTAAGTTCTGCACCTGACAAATCATCTTCAGACACTTGCTCTGAGAAAGACTGCAAAGGGCCTCTCCCAGGAATGTGGCCTTGTGAATCTTTTTGAGACAGCTCAGGCCTCTCGTTGGAGCTTAGCTCCGTCCCAGGCAAACCTCATCCCCATTGCTAACAGACCCAGGCCCACCATCAGGAACATCATCCCCATGCCCAGCGTGAACATCAGACATGATCAACACCCAACTCTGATGATCCCACTGAATTTAATAGTGTTTATTCCCCGGTAAGCGTGCCTTCGGCGCTCAAACAAAATGCTTTGGCTTCCATTGGTGAAGAGCGTTTAGATATGCAAAATGCGCAGGCACTGCTTCCGAAAAGCACTCCAGCTTGAGGTGGATCAATGTTTCCATCTTGAGGATGAGTTGAAGTGTGAGCTCACCTCCTTCAGTCTGGCCTCGGCTTCCCTCCCAGGGAGGTCTCCTCCTCTTCTTTCGCCCCCAAGATCTCAATAGGATTATGGATTTCAATACTGTGACATGTGGCAATGGCTGGCGATTTGGAACTTTCGGGGGAAAATAAACAAGGATTAGACGAATTAAGGGTGAATGGGGACTATCCCTGGCTCTTGGCCAGCCGAACTAAAACGAAGCCTCCATCCTCAGACGTAGCCTGGTTTTGGACGCCTGAGGCTGGAGGCAGCCAGCAGTGGAGCATCTCAAGGCCATCGCCTTGATGGGAAAAGATGGGTGGACTTAATAGATGATTGTTATGATCCAGTAAGGCAGTGCCTCTGGTGTCACTGTGAGAAGGACCTCCATTGTGCACATGGCAGGGCTCAGGTTGCATTGTAGTAAGTGGTCTGTGGTTTGCTCTTCTCCACACTCGCATGTTGTGGACTCCACTTTCTGGCCCCATTTTTTAAGATTATCTCTGCATCTCGTGGTACCAAGTGTCTTCCAAGTCACCCCATTTTCTGTGTGCCAAAGAGGGAGTCTCGGGAAGTGAGTGAAGGTACTGCAAATCCCATCATCCATGCTCCATCCTCTGCCAAACCACACCAGGACGTAGAGTGGGTCATGGGGGCTCTGTGTGTCAAGTTTGGTCCTAATC